TGAGATTAAACGCCCTGAAGCTATTTCCACATAATAGAGGATAGGCTAGCTGCAAAATCCTCCCTGGGAGAAAAACGTCCTTTGTTTCTAAGCTGTACTCCCACCCCCAGCAATGTTCGTCTTCATCTCTTGAAATAAAAGAGAAAATCCCTACAGAATAAATAAAAATCAGCTGTGTGGGGATGAAGACACGTTGACCTGGACCCTCCCCAGCATGAAGGGCAGAGGAGATGCTTGGTGGGCTCCCTGTCACTTCCTTATCTTCCTTGAACATCTCTGCTGCAAGAGAAGACCCCGAGCCGGAAGCAGTGTGCAGACCCAGTGGGTCCAATCAACAGGGCTGGGCAGTGTCTGAATCTCCACGCTGTGAGCAAGAAACACCGGCTCTTGGGCAGGGCAAGGCGTGCAGTGCATTTGCATGTAGCTCAATGAGTAGCTTTCAGTCCTAAATACCTCTCAAGGCAATATGCTGTTTGCCATCAACACACTCCCTCTCTCCCAAAAGGGGCGAATCTCCGCACCAGCCTTGCTCACTTCCATGGATGTTCTCTATGAGTACTAGATGAACAGGACACGTGCTCTATCATTTACCAAAACAGAGGACTCAGACTACTTTCTCAGGGGTCTCTCCATGTTTAAACAATTCAAACACTAGAAAGCAGGTATAAGCAGAGGCTAACGGGGCTGGATTTGACACCTCCAAACTTTCCTTTCCCCTAATGCTCTCTCCGCTTCCCGCTTGAGTTCCACTCGCAGAGTCACGAGCTGCAATGGCTGGAAAGAAAGACAGGGCAGAGCATCTGCTAGTTGTGAAAATCTGTGCTAATTATTCCTCAGCTCCCAACTGGCAGTGGTCAAGGAAGCAGGTTGACATGATTAGAGCTTTTTAAAGTAGACAGCAGGTCTTCAAATTCATGAGGAGTTAGTGCAGTAGGTGGGGAGTAGCTCCTAGCTTCTCATCCTTTAAGCACCTTGCTGGGGCCTGGACAAAACTGCCATGCAGTCGTGGATGTCAGGGCTGGGAGTTACACATATTCTAACTCCTTTCTTCTTGTAAATAAGGAACTCAAGGCCCAAGAGTTTACTTTACGGTGTTTGGGGGAAAACTCGGGCAATGGAGACAAAGCTATAAATTTAAATCAACTCTGTCACTTAGAAGCACAGAGGCCGTGGGTCCTGTTCTTATCTGTAAAATAGAATGTAACACCACCTCCAACCCGGGCTGCTGTGACACCCAACATATGGCCAGCCCCCAGGAGTGTCAGCCACCGTCGTCCACGCCTACACGTGGCCACCAGGCCTGCTCTCTCCACTCCTCTAGAGCATGGCTGATGGCAAACCTTAATGGTGGTCGTCCCCAAATCCTCACTATGTCTCTTCCTTCCCGTCCCTCCCTTACGGCCAATGCCTGCGTCCTTCCCTCATCTGCCCTCTGCCAGCTCCCACATATCAGCCCCTTCCCTCTATCAGAATCCTCAGGGAAGGATGTCATATAAAGTGTAACCTTAGGAGAATCAAGTTAGTGTGTTACCTCTACCAACGGTATTTGCATTTTTAACGTTTTAAATCTGTGAAGTACTATGCTCATACAAAGAGGGGTGTAAACATGAATGCACAGCATCATGAAGGATCAAACAGAGACGCAGGGAAACAGCTTCCAGGGCAGGAAGGAGTCTTCACGCCCATTCTCCTCTCCAATCCAAAATTCTCCCTCCCTACAGGTACTTGCTGTCCTGATCATACGATCACCCCGTCCTCATTTGTCTTCGTGGCTTACCGCCTGAGGATGCTTCTCGAAGTGCAAGAGTTGAGTTTTGACTGTTTTTGAATTGTAAATAGGCTCGCACACTCTCTGCTTTAATCCTTTCACTCAGGACCGTGTTGGAGCCATGTGTCACCGAGGGCGGCAGCTCTTGCGTTTTCCTCTCTGTTTAGGATTCTTACCATATGAACTGAGCAAACCACACGTTCTCAGGCAAATATCACAGCCATCGATTCGTCTCTAGGATTTGGTTATTATGACGAATGCTGCTATGAACACTCTCGCACACGTCTCCTGCTACAAAAGTGAGTGGCTTTCTCCAGAGTCCATTTCCGCAGTGGAAGAGCTGGGTCCTGTTACCTCTATGCAAAGGGGAAGCCAATTTTGCACAAGATGGTACCAGTTCATGCTGGCACCAGCAGCCCACAGAGGTTCTGTTCCATGTCCTCACCAGCAGGTCATAGATCAAGCTTTTCCATGGCTGCTAATCAGGGGTGTAGGGGGAATCTCATTGTGATGTTAACTTGCCTTTTCCTGGTACTAAGGAGCCAAGCAACTTTTCCTATGTTCTCTGGTCGTTAGGATTTCCTCATTCATAAAATGCTGCCTGTTCAAGACTTTTGACCGGTTTTCTGCTAGGTTGTCTCATACCTCATTTTTATTATTGATTAATGGGAATTTGAGTGTTTTGTATTAATAGCTTAAAAATACATAATTGTGAAATAAAGGGAGCCTCCCCCTTTGGAAGGTCTTTCTGGGAGAAGTGAGAAGGTGGAAGGATTCGAAGGCAGAGGCACTTCTCCACTCCACTGGAATTGTGCCCATATGTGCGTGTCTATTTCCCTCCCCACATGGCCTGCTTCACAGTGTGTTTGCATGGATCTGTGATAAACACACGCATGCACATTCTGAGTGACAGCTCCTGTTTGTGGCTACATTTTAAATCTCTTTTTCTGATTTTCAAATTTTTCTAGCGTGTACTTACAGGGTAAGCTTGGCGTGAACTCCAGGGCAAAAGATAATTGTGAACACTGGCATTTACCCAATTTTAATAAACTGAACAGAAACCACTCCTATCATTTACAGAGAGTGGATAAGGCATATCAGCCATCATCTGTACCAGCTAACTCACCAGTAAAGGGAGGAGGATGTACCTGGAGGCTGAGTTCCCTGGGTGTTCGCAGATGAAAACTGAGGTCAACTGTGACCCATGTTATTAATCTTAATCTCATGTAAAGTGATGCCCCACCACCCTGCTTCTCTGCATTATTTGTGGGGTTGTGTCAACATCTGGGAAGAAAAATTACATTACACTGAAGTTTATCATAAACTCTTCATGCGTGTGTGTGTATGTGTACTCAACCCTCCCAAAACTCTCTCTTAAATTTCAAAATCCTCTCAATAATTCACCACAACTCTACAAAGTTTCCGAAAGTGTTTCTAGCACAAGCATCTGCTCTCCCACATCCACATTTTTGCAGAATAAAAGCCTAAATACAGCTGGGGATTAATAGAATTTTTCCATAACTCCATGGGAGTTACAGAATATATTAGTGGTACCGACAGGTAAGAGATGACACTGGCCAAGCCAACACCGAGGTCACAGCCACAAAACTGTGCCACAAAATGAAAACGAACCCGCACTTACAGAGAGCACAGTTTTAGAGGGGAGCCTGCTGCATCTACACTGCAACGTTTAATTCAAAACACCTCACTTCCTCCTCAGTAGCATGTCCCCACAATAAATACTAGATATTTAAGCTAAAGGACAGAATCTCCTTTCTTCCATAACCCATGACTTGGACTAAAAATCCACAGGGACAGTGGGAAAATGGAGCATTTCTATACAGTAAAATGTTACTGCTGCCTGGTTGGAAAAAATAATGTGAGTGAACGGCACAGAGGTCTGATTCCAAAAACAAAGCATTATGTAGAGAATGTAAGAAATTGAGCCAATTTTCCACACCGTTTTCTAAGAAAGTTCTTGCGGATGCTACTTAATTTTTCAAACATTGTCACTAAAATCCAGAAACAAATATCTCCCCATTTTCTCCTTTCTAAAATGAAGCTTGACTGAAAACCCTGCCACACAGAGGACGTGAAGTTAGGATGTGAATGCAGCTTTCAGAGCGAGGCACACGCACAGGCCAACTTACTATATTAATTCTTTTTCTTTCCTTCATTTCATTTTCGTTCATGGGCTTGTAAAAGAATTATTAGGTGCAAATGATGGCTCACTAAAAATATTTTTTAGCAATTTTTACGTCTTGGATGACAAAATAGTTTTTAAAAATAAATGTATTTTAATTCCACATGATGCACACCCCGTGGCTTTTAACTGATGACCAGCCATTTGAAATATTAGGTTTCATGTTACTGTTAATTACGATGGCATCATTCTGAAGCAGTTACGAGTTCTGACTTGTGCCTTGGCTCCTGGTATAAATGTCTGAACTGTGAATAAAATTTCTAATTATAAGATGCTTGCCCCTTAAATAGAAATAAGTCTAAAAGTAAACTCTAAATGCAAATGTTTCAACATTTCACATGAAAAATCAGGAAGATGCTTTGTGCTTGATTATTGTTGTGCTTATGTATTGCCTGTTTTACTAAATCTAACCTAGGAATTTTGATGCATCGATCATGAAATTTCTTCATAGATGGGCTGAGAAGGCTCCCCAACCAATTAATGAAACATAAGCCACGGACCATTTTCAAATAGAAATGATCTGAACCATTTATAGCATTTTTGGTAAAATATTAATGGAAAACAGACTATTTTATAGATTATTCTCCTGCCAATATTATTACCTTCAGCACATCAAGTCCTCTTAGGAGTAATAAAATAACATTAATACACCATCTGGAAACGGAGCCATGAAGAACGATCCACTTTTTCTTTGCAAACATATACAAACAAAACCAGAAAATTTCACTTTTTTTGGCCAAAGAAAACATTTGGTCATTTCTTCTGCTGACTCCAGTCCTTGTGGTGATTTCTAAAAATTAAGAATCGCCGTAACCCACCAGGGTTCAGACCCAGGTAAGCTGTCTTAAAAACAAAGGTTACTGAACATTTCAGTCTTGGTCCAGTGACACAAACCCACTCCCATTATTCCCCACAATGCCACCTAAACTGAATTTCTTCTGAGTTATGAGCAAACATAGGTCAGATGATCAGAAAAATAGCCGACTAAAGTCAGTAGAAGGTTCACCCCATAAATTAAGTCAGACCTACCAGGGCACCTGGGGGTCTTGTGGGCCACGGCAGTGCCACTGATGGGCCTCCCATTGGGTGTCACACACCAACAGTATCCTGTGTAGCTGTGACACTGGACCTGGAGAAACGACAGACAGGGTGGTCACTAGGCACATTGCCTCGCTATTGACAAGGCCCACTCTGCTTTCTGCAGTGTGGAACACTTTGTTTCCTACAAAGGTCTTAGGATGCCCAGTGCTTTCTGAGTCGCTGCAATGAACGCTCAATGGAAGAATGTGCGATAACCTGGAACTCAGGATTTTAGAGATACAAGCCACCAAACATGCTGAATGCTAGTGTGTGCTGGCACCTTAACTGTTGAGTATCTAGTCTTCACTACCTTTGAGATGGACCCCAAGCCCTCATCTTACAAATGGGGAAACTGAGGCCCCAAGGAGTCAAGAGACTTGCTCAGTGTCTCCCAGCTGATCCAGGCAGAATCGAGGAGAAGAGGCCGGCATCTGGCTGCCGGTGGGATGCTCTTTCCATCACAGCCCCTGGGTCTCCGCAGTGTCTGTCCTGCCACTGGCTCCTTCCACACCAACTAGCCAGAGCGGACATTCTCTGTAGCTCCAGTCTCTCTCAATTTCTCTCTCTCTTTCTTTAGCCTTTCAAAGGTCAAATGATTGTTGTAAAAATACATAGAATTCACATTGTTATTGGATGGTTTAGAGAAGATCTTGTTTTGTTTTTCTGCCAAAAGCTATGTTAGCATTGTATTTCAGGAAATTTTTTCCTTAATAAGGAATAATAGTGTTGACAATAATATTGATACACTCAAGATAGAGAATTGGGTTATCTTCCTGACACTGCCTTTGACTGAGAATCTCAAAGGACAGTGAGAAACTTGACACGCCTCCGCCTCCCACGTCTGAACCCTCAGGAGCTCACGGCCGGCACTAATGCTGTATGACTTTTAGCATGTGCCCCACTATAATTAAAATTAAACTAAAATTAGATTCTCAGCACTGAGCCAGGTTAGCAGGGTCGGAGTAGCCTCTCTGAGGAAGCTGTCCCATGCCAACTCACACAGTAATGAAGGTGAACAGCGTGGTGATAACCTAAACACCTGTGCCGAGGAAGGAATGAATAAATTCACTTACACACCTCTTTATGAACCTGAGCTTTGTTAGGAATTAACTTCTAAAACGTAAAGGATGATTTCCCCGTGAATAACCCTCGTCTCCTCCTGCATTGAGCTTTGCCATCCTCGTCGGTGCCTCCCCTGATTGCCCGGGTACAAGCTGAGTGTGTAACCTGACTGTAGGTGCCATCATCCTTGCATTCCGGAATGAACACTTGCTGGAATTCCTTCCGGGCCTGCTCCTGAGTGTACTTCCTCTCGGCCACACACCTGGACACGTCTGCAGGAAAGAACAGAGCAGAGGCAGCCGTTATGCAAGGGGAAGATGCAAAGGCGTGAGTCACAGAGGAGCGTGGAGCTGGTGGAGGTTGGAGGGGCTCCTCAGGCAATGGGGGCCTCGGGCTCCCCACTGTGTCTCGTCCCAAGGAAGGCTGGAGCGCTAAGAAGAGCAGGGACGTCCTCTACACTAACGAGCAAGGAAGCCGAGGCTTAGAAAGGACTACTCGGCTTATCCCGGTGAAACACACAGACCATGCTTCACGGACATGAGGAGATGCCAGCTGTAGTCCAGCTAGTACAGACAGGCTCCCTTCAGGTCCAAGGACGTCCATCTGAGTGCACAGGGTCCAGTCCACACACAAAGTGGGGGCCAGGTCTAGAAGCCACAGTTACAATCAGACCAAACACACTGGCCCAGAGGGAGGGAGCACTGGGGCACCTCAGAGGGCATGTGACATTCCTGCCCACTGCTGAAGGTCCGGAGAACCTGCCCAATCTGAAGACCACCTGTGCGAGGAGACCACAGCAGCCTCTTTTCTCTTATTTCCTAGGATCTCAAAGTGATACTAAGCTCCCACGTCTTACAACTTCAAGTGGAAAGTCTGACAATAAATCAGATAAAAAGGGTCAAATATCCCTAGCACTCCTCCCATTCTGTCCAAATTTTCATATATTCATGTTAAAATTTCTACAGCGGGATAATTCTACATAACGCACTATGTGCCTACTGCTCCTTAGGAAGGTATCCCCTGGGACTAAACAAACTAGGAAAAGTCTAAAGACATTCAGGCATATCTAATCTCGCTCTGGACAGCAGGAATTAGGAGATGCAGACACTCAGCTCAGCCATGGAGATCCCCGTGTACCATGAGCACAGCAACGCCTGGGAGGAGCGGCACTTGAGGAAGCGTGGCTAATCCTACTCCTCCTCTCATTGCACAATCCCAACCGGACTGCGAGATCGGGGAACCAGAAAGCATATTAATTCCTGCTGCTACTTTCAGACTTCCAGCAAAAAGAGTCAAAAGTGTGAGACGAGCATTAACAACGGCCCACATTTTCGTGACCCCAGGTCCATAACGCATGCTCTAAGAAGCCAGGCATCCACTATTTGAGAAGAATGCCAGAAAGGCCGCCACCCAGGGTCTCACGCCCTAGGACAATGCCACAAGGACATGTTTTATTTCTTTGGATCATCCTCCGATGTAGGTCGTTGGAATTTTAAAACTTGAAAAGAATGGCTTTCCCGATTTTTCTTAAGTGTTTCCAGATTTAAATAACAAGTTGTCTAGATTTTAAAGGCTCTCTGGACTCCGAGAGAGACTTCTTCAAACGTGTCCTCTGCCCAACGTTGTTAGATGGTGACTTTTTGATTGCCTGGCAGTGAAAACTGCTGGCTACGACAAAATGCCATCTAGGCACCCGCTCCAGGACACTGGGCAGCTTGCGACAGCTCTGGCGGTGTCGTTGTGCCGAATATAGACCCTGCCGCTGGAAATCCTTATCTTGGACTTCTGTGGAAGCATGGGCAGCAGGCTGTATCATGTGTAGGACCTGTGCACTGGAGAAAGCACTCTGATCCAGGCTGGGTGCCTCACTTCTTGATCTACGTCTTGGCCTGGCCAGCCAGCACTCAGCAACATGTGGTTTTAATGTAATCTGTGTTTTAGCTGAGGAGAAATCACTGCTTTGCTGGACTTCTGTCCTCATTTTTTTAGTATAACCTGTGGTTTGACTGTCTAAAAGGAAAAGTGATCTGGGTTCCAGCTTGCAAGGTCTCTGCTAGGATACAGATGGGGTTACAAATTATTTCTAATATTTGAACTATCATGGATGTGCCAAAAAGCATACATTTTCCAGACAGCGCGTGGGCTTCTTTGCTGGTTTGGACACTTTCTTTGAAAGACTTCACATTTGCCACTGGTCAGATGGTTCTCAAAACTGCAGCTACCGTGTTTGATAGAATATTAAATTCCAAGTTTATGTCTGGCATATTGCTGATTATTTAGTCATAGGAAATAATTAAGACTCTGCACTATGAAACGGCAGGGCTTGTGTCAACCATCCCTCAAAAATAAGTCTGTAGTCATCTTAAATAAAAATGCTGTTCACCTCAAACTACCTGCCAGTTATTCCTTATTCCAGACATTCTCCATCAGGTACCATGTCTCTAGTCTTGAGAAGAGTCGGAACAGCAGCTGACCAAATTAATTCCATTGAAATATGCAAAGCCACTAGGAAATTCCACTCAAAATTAATAGCGTCTCTTGTGTTGTCTTTATTTATTTTATTGTGGTAAGAAGACTTACCACGAGATCTCCTCTCTTAGCACATTTTTATGTGTACCATACACTATTGTTGACCAGAGGTGCTTTGTCACACAGCAGAGCCCTAGAATGGACACATCTTGTACAGGTGAAACTCTCCCTGTGTCCTTAACATCACTTCAAACCGTTATATGGTTAATGTATACATACTTTAGCTAAGTTAAATGCCCCTCTTTATAGAAATCAAAATACTAAGCACAGCCTCAAAATTATTCCCAAATTTCCAATTTTTCCTTCAATTTTGAAAGAATGGAAGAGAAAAGTTCAACACTCTCCCCTGGAAGCTGTATTTACAGGTAATAAATTTCTACCCTTATTATATTTTTACTCTAGATGCTTCTTGTGGTTCAATTAAAAATTAAGCAGGTCCTTAATTCAGTGGCCTTGTTGAGATTTTATTCTGGACACTAATTTTAACCGTTTGAAAATGAAATCCTCAAAACACGAGCACCATAATTTTTTTCATTGTGGTACAACTACAGAAAATATAAAATTCATCATTTTACCATTTTAAAGTGTATAACTCAGTGGCATTTAGTACATCCACAATGTTGTGCAACCATCACTTCTATCCCATTCCAAAACATTCTCTTCACCCCAAAAGGAAACCCCGTGCCCATTGAGAAGTCACTCCCTGTTCCCCCCTCCTCCAACTCAGGCCACCATTGACCTGCTCTCTGTCCTCATGCATTTGCCTATTGTGAACATTTCATATGAATGGAATCATAAGACATATGGCCTTTGTGGCTGGATGAAACTTGCATGTTTTCAAGGTTCATCATGTTGCAGCCTGTGTCGGTGCTTCACTCCTTCTCAGGGCTGAATCACATCCCATTGTGTGGATGGGCCACAGTGCGCTTATCTGCTGTTCTGTTATTGGACATCTGGGTTGTTTCCACCTTCTGGCTGCTGTGAATAATGCTGCTATGGGCACTCATGTACGAGTTTTTGTTTGAACATCTGTTCTCAAGTCTTTTGGATGTAACCTGGGAGTGGAATTTCTGGGTCATAGGGTAATTCTGTGTTTCACTTATAGAGAAACCACCAAACTGTTTTCCACAACAGCTGAACTGTTTTACTTTCCTACCAAAAGTGTACAAGGGTTCCAATTTATCCACATCCTCACCAGTCTTTATTTTCTGTCTTTTTCATTGTTAATCGGTATAGCCATCCTAGTGGGTATGAAGTGGTACCTTGTAAATTTTTGGCTCATAGTAATTTTTAAACTATGGTCAATTTTTATCTTATAGGAAAATCCATCTTAACTGAAAATTATAATGGTAATATCTTAATTAAATCAAATTGTTAATTTAACCTTCTAATCAAAGACTTTAATCACTTTTTACTAGATCAAAGAAAAACTCTTTGGCAAACATTTGATTATATATTTTTAGAAACTTTTTGTTCTTATCTGAAAGAGCAAGGACTTTGTAAATAAAGAATTTCTTCATTATGCTTAGCAAGGCATTTCTAACAACAGATTTGTGTGTGTGTGTGAGGAAGATCGGCCCTGAGCTAACATCTGCCAATCCTCCTTTTTTTGCTGAGGAAGACTGGCCCTGAGCTAACATCCATGCCCATCTTCCTCCACTTTATATGGGATGCCACCACAGCATGGCTTGCCAAGCAGTGCATCGGTGCGCACCCAGGATCCAAACTGGCAAACCCCAGGCCGACGCAGCGGAGCATGCGCACTTAACCGCGTACACCACCAGGCTGGCCCCTCTAACAACAGATTTTTAATAGAATTTTTTTGATAAGTTGTTCGTTAATAATAATGAGTTTTGTAAGCCATTTATGTACCTGGTTGTTAATTTTTGTCTCTCAATTGCAAAGTAAAATAGATTCCTTTTCCAATGGGATTTCTTGTTTACTCATTAAGAAGATACATTAGTCACAGAAACTATGAAAATGCAATGCTTGCTATAAACTAGAAATGAACAACGTTTTATTGTGATTATTTCTAATGATGGTTTTCATGTAAACAAGAAGCAAATAATTTCCTACTTTGCTAAAATCCCTCAAAATAGAATTGAGCAATAATTGGAAGAGATAGCTTTCTGAACATTTTATGCAGAAATTTTGGAGAGCAGCAGTGGAAAGGAGCTGAGAAATCTCGAGCAGAACAAGATCACTGAACAGCGATGTTGATAGGTGATCCTCAACTCAATGGTCCCTAAGTCTGGGGAGTTCTTCTTGTGGGGACTCCTGTCCACCACACAACAGGATAACATGGACATGCTAACTAGAAACAAGTGAATCAAGTTTTCATTTAACTCTTCCTGTGTCCACCCTCCAAGACATGTTAGCTTACACCTGAGATGGCCATTCCATGACATTCAACAGCTGCTTCCTAAGGCAGAAACCTTGGGAATATGGAATTATTTTAGAGTCCCATTTATATAATATTGAATGAAAGGCTCAATTGGCTATTTTTCTGATCAACAGACCCACTGACTCTGAATCTAGAATGGTAATTAAATGGTTATGTCTCTGAGGTCCAGACAGTTGCCACTGCTGTATTCTCATGACCCAGCATGGGACCCAGCATAGAGAGGTTGGCATTAGAACAGTCTGAGCTGGATAAGGGAACACAACCACACCAAGCAAACACGCGCTCTCGTGGGAGTGGCCACAGAAACGATAGCCTTGTGAGTGACATGTCTTTTGTTTT